ACAGTGGTCAGGGTCATAAACATACAGGCACAGGGTCACCTTGGCCAGCACATGTACCCAGCACACACAGACTGTGCACGAACTACCCATATACAGACCAGCCGGGTATGATGTGCCCCTCTCTCACGTACAAACTAGTCACAAGCCACATACACACGTCAGCCAGGTGTCTCTCTCACACACAGACCAGACACCACACACACACACACACACACACACACACACACACACACCAGAAAACAAACCCACACAAACCAGTCAGAGACTTCTCTGTCTCTCTCACAGACACACCATCCACAGACCACACATAAACACACAGAGACCGCACATACCAGCACACCAGACACAAATAAGTTAACCATAGGAACTCCAAAAAAACCTGCATAGCCATACATATAGGCCAGCCATACACAGCCACTCCTTAGACTTTGTGTGCACATACACACACACACACACACACACAACTGTCCCCATCCACACCAAGCAAAACAGCACCCTCACAGAGACAGGTCCTACACTCTCGGCAGGGCTGGGCCAGCCAAGCCTGGACCCAGCCTCATGTTCTAGGCTCTCCCACTCCCGGACAGGCAAACACAGCTGCCAACTTTGCTGAGGTTCTGTGGGTCTCTGGGCTCTGTCCCCCAAGATCCCAGTGCTTCCTGTCCTCAAACATCACTCCCTCCCACCTGTTCTCCACTTCCCCTGGGAGGCCCAGCTCAGCAACCGTGGCTCCGGCTGTGGGCCGTGTTCTCATCACATCCCCATAGAAAGGGCACCTGGGAAATGAGTGATACCCAAGCCCCCCAAGCCCTCAGCAGCAGCTTTGTGGGAAACTCCCCATGGGCCTCATTGAGTCAGTGTGAAGAGACTGCTTCCAAGAACACCCAGCAGCTTCCTCTCCAGGAGAGCGGTGAGGGACCCCCAAAACCACAGGGATGGGGGAGGGGAGCTGGGAGGCCAGGGGTCCTGGGGAAGGGCCTCTGGGATCAGTCTTTAGCTTCTTCCGGCCCAGCCTCCTGTCCACACCCAGGGGCAGGGACGCGGGCAGCTGGGTGCTTTGACTTGTGGGTTCCTGCCCTGGCCTGCCCACTGGCTGACTCATGGGCAGCCCCCAGCCCAGTTTCCTGGTGAGAGCCCTGCAGCCAGCTGGTCAGCGGGGCCAGAGGAGGAGGGTCAGTGGACTATTTATAAGAAGGAGAAGTCCCTCGTGCCAAGGCCAAAAGCTCCAGAGACCCATGGGTGGGGGTGGGTGAACTTCCTCCTTACCCGGTCCTCTGGGCCTGGGAGAGGGGTATGGGGAAGGTGGGCAATACCCAGCAGCCAGTGTGGGTGTCCAGGCCAGATGGGGGAGGGGCCGTCACACTCTCCTCCCCAGGCAGGCCTGGCGCCAGCAGGGCGGCATGAGGGGGCGGCACCCAGGCCACAGGGTGAGACTGGCAGGGGCCTGGAACCGGCTGTACCAGCTTGGCCAGGCCCCCGCCCTCCATGGCTGGCCTTTCCCCATCCCCTGCTCAAACGCCCATGCAGAAGCCCTGGGGCCGGGACCCCACTCCAAAATACAGTCTGCTCATAAACACCATTGGCTCCTCTCCTCGTGCCAACTCTTTTGTTTGTTTGTTTGTTTGTTTTTTTGGAGGGGGCGTTTTCTGGTACCGGGAATCAAACTCACCACCTTGCGCTTGCCAAGCAGGCGCTGTGCCGCTGAGCTAAATCCCCAGCCCCTGTGCCAACTCTTTTAACTCGCAGGTAGAGGAGACCATTTGTGAAAGGATGGCATGCATTTGGTACTACATAAGTGCCCATCTCAGTGTGTAGCATACACAAAACCCTGGGTTCAACCCCAGTACTGCAAAAATAATAAAATAAAATAACTAAATATCTGTCCAGTTGTGACTGTCCACAGTACCTCGCATAGTACCTGATGCTCCGGAGGCAGGGAGCTTGGGCTGTATGTATGGGACTTGGGCTATGAGTGGACGTAAGGCAAGTTCTTTCATTTTCTTGTCTATTCAGTGGTGATATGAACAGCACACACTTGGCTGGACGGCTGGAAGCAGCCAGTGACTTATTATGCAAGCCACTTAGAATGGTGTCTGGCCCCTGCTAAGAGCCATATAAGTGTTAGCTATTAAAATAATAATTACTATTTCTCAGTGTGTCTGCGTGTCCGCATGTCTCTGAGTCTCCTCATCTGTCTGCACATTAACCTTGCCTCTTTCTGTCCCTTGGGCCATCTCTCCCTGCCCTGACCCCTGCCCCCTCCACCCCCTCTTGCTCCTTTGGCTCCGGTCATGCCTCTATGCCACTGTGATGGCCTGGCCACGCTCCAGGGCTCCCCCCAGCATGGCCAGCCTCAGCTCTGGCCGCGAGTGACTCACTGTGGTCTCCTGGCCCATGGGACCTGCAAGTTGGCTTCCCAAGGTGCTGCCCTGCCCAGCCCCCCAGTGCTGCCCGCCCCGCCCCCGTGGGCCAGGCCAGATGTCAGCTGCAGCTATTAGCATGGGCAGGAGACACAGGCCTGGCAGAGTGCCCGCCAGACTCAGCGGCCTCTGGAATCTCCCTGAGCCTGAGGCGGGGGAAGGGAGCCTCCCTAGCAAGGGGCCAGAGGAGGGGGCCCTAAGGGTCCTGCAGACTGGGATGCCCCCAGCCACTTCTGGGACCTTCCAAGCCCCCTGCCCTGCGGGACTTCCCCTGCCCTCAGCTCAGTTTCTCTGAGCCTCTTTCATTTTCTTTCTCTCTCCTACACTTGCTAAGTCTGAGGCTGCCCCAGAAAGGCCCGCAAGCCCTTGACCCTCAGCCTCCCTCTACCCTAAAGGAGCTTCTTCCATCTTCTCACAGATGGGGGCCTGGGAGGCTGAGAAAGAGGGAGACTGGGTCTCTCACTTCTTGTTTTAGGGGTTCCCATGCTCCCTGCTTGGAAGTCCCTCCTAGAGTCTAACTAGAAGTCTCATTATTTAAACCTCCAGCCGGCCCTTCCTGAGGAAAGTGCAGTGGGCTCCTTCACCTCCCCTTGGATTTTCTGGTGCTCTTTAGGGGCAGGGAGTCGCTCTGCGCTAAGATGGGAATGGACCCCCAATCACTGGGGCGTCGGGGGAAGGAAAGGGCACCCTGCCCGGGGTTGGGCAGCGGAGGTGCCAGCCCGCCCAGGCGCCGCGGAGGCCTCGAGGCATCAGCCCGCCCCCTCCGCACCCCGTCGGGCCAGGGGCGAAGTCCGACCCAGGCCCGCGGGCAGGCGGGGACCTGCCGGG